CCACTGAGATCCTGGAAATGGTAGGAAACGTGGCTCATGATAGCAGAAGGACCAGAATCATCCCCCGGCACCTGCAGCTGGCCGTCCGTAGCGACAAGGAGCTCAGCAGGCTGCTGGGAGGAGTGACCATCGCTCTGGGAGGAGTTTTGCCCAGCATTCGGGCGATCCTGCAGTCCGGATAAACTGAGAGGTCAGCCGAGTCTGGGTGGACGGATCGAATGTCATCTGCAACCAGTTTCTTTGGATCTTCTGTGGGACGGGCCTTTACAAGAGATCTTTCCTGCCTACAGACATCAGTATCTATAACATATCTTAATGAAGCGAGGATAACGAGTTACAACATTTAATGTACCTTTGGGATTAATAAGGTATTTTTGAATTTGAATTTGAACACATCTGTTTTGTTGCCCACATCTAATGATGTAGGCCTGGTTTTCCTTTTCTTCATCACAGCGTTGGTGCAGTTCTTATACAAACATGACTTTCAAGTTTGCTGTTGCCAACATGATGTAGCAGAACAGTAGTAAGAACCTGTTATGTTCTCTGCTTCAGCTCCATTTCTCTACTGCACCTGAATTGTTTTTGGAAATGCAGATGCTGATGTTAGGTAGGTAACTCAGTCCAGTGGACTGCACAAAAAAAAAAAAAAAACAGCTTAATAAACTTTACAAACTATCTTATTATTAAACTTGTCAAAATACAATGGTCTGAGAGTTGCTGAAGGGAGAGGAGGATAGAAGAGAAGTGCGTAAAGGATTTCACTGTTCACTAGAGGGCAAGATTGGGGCAGCAGTTTTACCATAAATAATTCACATTCATACGGTGCCATTATGTGTACAGGCATGCACGGCTGCACGTGCGCAAACACATGTTGTGTCACTAATGTTGCGGTCTAGTCCGCCAAGTTGGTTCGTTTAGTCAGGGAATCAGATTATTTTCAAGGGCATGTTCACATTGATGTAATCAGGGACACTTCACTAGAAATATTTGTACAAGACGTTATTAAAACAAAATAACCTGTCCTTTAATATGACACGCGCTCCCTCATTGTTTGGAGTGGAAACATTTTTTAATCATTCCTGTTATGATAAACCTTCATGTACTCATGTTCTATTTCATTAAGTAAAAGTTGTTGAGTCACATTAAAAGCTAAATTCTTACCATAATTTGTCTGACTGCTCCCTCCGGGGAGATTGTGCTTGTGGACTGAGATTGTGTCAGCTTGAGTGACTTTTGTGGTCACCGATTTGGTCCTTATTTATTTATCTAAGGGTTCAGTGCTTGTTCAAGTCTGCAAGTACAAGTGAGCAAGGAAGCAGTAGTACTCATATGTACGCTGTTGTCTCCTGTCACTGAGGGGTTTGAATAGTGAATGTTTGTAGGTTCAGAGATGAGTGTTTGTCTAGACTGGAGTTGAACAGGGAATGCAAGTAAACCTTGTTGTTTTTGGTGCAAGATGTGCACAATGATAGCTGGATATGGGCACCAGTGACCCCCGCGATTCAAAAAGGAAGAAGCAAGTAAAGATAATGGATGGATGGATGGATGGATGGATGGATGGATGGATGGATGGATGGATGGATGGATGGATGGATGGAATGATGGATGGATACTCAAGTGGGGAGGAGTTACACTGTGGATAAGAACAGAGGGAGGCTTTGTTTTTATTTTTATTTTTTGCACATATGATGGTGTACACCTTGGATTTTAATGAGGCAACCTAATTTTTGACAGTGAGTTATCTCATGCCTAAATGTAGGCATGCTCCAAATGAAAGCTGTTCACTCACCTATGTTTCAACAACATGCACAAATGGACCGACAGACTGCATTTTCAATCCCCCCTCCGCTCTGCAAAATTGGACAATTCAACATAACAAGTTTTATTTATCCATCTATCCATTATGTTTTATACGTTTCTTCCCTTTTGAGTCACGGGGGTCACTGGTGCCCATATCCAGCAATCACTGTATGAGAGGCGGGGGACACCCTGGACAGGTCTCCAGTCCATCACAGGGACACATAGAGACAAACAAGACAAACAACCATTCACTCTCTCACTCACACCTAGGGACAATTTAGAGTTACCAAAATAATTTCACATGTACAAGTGAACAAGAAGTATGGACTAAAACCATGCATGTTTTTGGTCTGTGGGAGGAAACAAGAGTAGTGGAAAACCCACAAATGCACATAGAGAATGTGCAAACTCCACTCAGAATGGCCTCCAGCCGGGATTTGATCCAGCGACCTTCTCGCTGAGAGGCAGTAGCTCTACGAACTACGCCCATTGCTAAACCAAAAGACTTTATATTCTAAAGCTGTATATCTTGTGCATCCCCTTCAGTACCAATCCATCATTCTAACTGTTAGCTTTCCATCTGCCTAAACTGACAACAGATGATCAAACTTTCTAACTTCAGAAGATATTTGCATAAAGTTGTAAGATCATAAGCATATGGTCATACTGACTGAGATAAATTTTCTTCTTACCTAACTGACAAACATGATCTGCATCTCTTCCTCCAGCCGAGTTTGTCGAATTAGTAAACATCTAAAGAAGATGGGCACATGGTAAAATGAGTTTGGAGCTCATGAAGCGAACTGGTGAGCTGTAGAACATTTAATACTTTATAAACGTATCTGCAAATGTTTGCTGGTTCTGTTCAGATACTGTCCTGGTTCTTACTTTTAAAAAACTGTCTGACTGCTAGTGTAAAGCTACTGCTCAGGTTGTTTATGTTGCTGTCTCGGTGGCACCCAAGCTCATTTTATCAATTGCTGTCAATCCAGTGCCTTGACAAACATGCCCTTCCATCAGGAAATAGGAAAACTAGTTTTTTTAATTAAATACAAGCACTGTTTTGACCTTTTTTAGTGTACAGAATGATGCAAAACCATTTAAATGGAGATAGCCTCCTTTTTTTTCTTTGCAAAAAGGGAGACTAATTGCACTTTGTCTGCAGTGTCTGAAGGTTATTCTCAATAAGTTAAATACCAAGGCACAATAAAGGAAGATACAAAATTCAAAGAAACATTTAATTATCGGTTCCTTAGAAAATGTCACTAAGGTTTATAGTCGAGAGCAGATGGGACTTTGCTTCAGGAAACAGTGACCCATAAAAATCTACAAACCAGAAATGACATTGCACCAAAAAGCCCTGTTTTTACTGCTTTCCCCCCAATTGCATTTAGGATTAAATGTGTTTACTTAAAATTCAAGTTTAGTTCAGGAAGCCTTCAAAGTATCCAACTGAAAAAAGACATGCAGATTGGACACTTTACCGTTAAAGTGAAAACGTATTACCTGAAACTCTGAGCCAGACTCGGACATCAGGAGGGCTGAGCTGAGGTTCAGACAGTTTATTTCTTTACTGGCTGATGGTCAGAGGTTTGAACAATACAGGCTGAATCTGAAATGAGCATCACTCTGGGAACAGAGGCAGGAGATGGGCCAGGGGAAACGGGAAACAGACAGAAAACTGCTTGCAGGGAAACGAGAATAAACAAATACATTATCATCAGAGAACTACGGTAGGTAAAACTGACTCATAGGCAGAGCCAACAATCTGGCTAAAAGCTGTGGATAGTTGAACATGAGTATATGTGTAACTGGCGGTAGCCACTTCTCAAGCACACCCTTCACGAACTTAAATTAAAAACATGCAGATAATTGAGATGACATAAATGTAGAGGGCATTTCAACAAAGATGGTCCTCCAAGAACTTTAACCTCTGTATTATGGGGATGAAGTACTGCAATAGATTTATCAAAGGAGAAGCCCATTTTTGAAAGACCACAAAGATAAAACCTTAATTCCTTACTCACCAATTGCCTTAAGGCAAAAACATGTCTGTTTAGGCTGCTTACACTTGAAAAAAAAAATAATCTGTGATCTCAATGGGATTTGCCTTGTTGAACAAAGGTTAATTAATTAAACAAGTGGTGTGCTGATGTCCCCCATCACAGAGGGATTTCAACAGTGAATGTTTGCAGTTTTAAACATGAGTGTTTTTCTGGACTGGAATTGAGTTGGAAATGTGAGTAAACCTTGATGTTTTTGTTGCACAATATTCAAGTGTGGGGTGGTTACGTTGCGTATGAGAACAGAGATGTTTGTTTTTTCTTTTGCTTGTGGCACTGATTGACAGATCATGGTGAGAGAGGGAGCAAATTTATCCACAACCAGATGCAATGGTGGAACTAGCGGGTGGCCAATGATGGCCTTGGCCACCAAAGATTACTCTTTGGCCACCCCACCAGCCACCCAATCATTTGAGGAAACTATGCCTTTAGGCAATAAAAAAACTAGAAAGCATTTCCTCAAATGAGTAGGGTGACTGGTTTACACATATGTGGCAGTAGCCATCTTGGATTTTGATGCAAACCCAATTTTGATGGTGACTTTTCTTACAGCTAGATGCAGTCACACCAAAATGGAGGTCAGTACCTCACTTAATTTTTAAGTTATCTTGCTCACAAACTTACGGACTGACGGAAGGTTTTTCCAATGCCCCTCTTCGTTCTGCATGAGGAGCAACAATGGGGTGGTTCACAATTTTCAATATTTTCACAAGTGTGCAAAACATACTTGCTTGGCATTGGTTGCAGGGAACTACAGTGTGGTAAAGACTTGGACTGACACCGGTAATGTCAGCACTTGTATGGTTGCACTAAATAAAAATGGTAGTCTTGCTCAGTGCTGTTGACTGAGCATAATGTTAGTGTGATGTCTCACAGTGTGTCAGTAACTCCCTTGTGTGAGAATAGCATCTTGTGACTAATACAGAAAATACTGCATCAAAACAAGTTATTATTATTTTTATTTAAGCATGCACAAGTCCCTGACCTCTTCCAAACCCAGCATATGGCTATACCCTTGTGACAATGTTTTAAAATTGTGAACTCCCCCTAAGGGAAAAAGACTCCAATACAAGTAGTATTGGGTATACTTAGTTTTTAACAGTTTAAATAATTGTCTCCTGTCTTGTTTGTCTGCAGTGCTCTTCGGTCAGTTTGTCGTGTTCCAGACTCTGCCCAGCGATGTGGTTGAGATCTACGATGGAGCCTCAGCAGACTCTGTCCTCCTCTCATCAATATATGGATCCCACTCAGGTAAAATTTACTCTGGCCTCAAGGCCTGATCTGTTCTTTTATTTGCTCAAAGGTTTGAGTTGTTTTCACGCCTGTGACTTCGAGGATTGTTTTTTTGTTTAACGAATAAAAGAGGAGAACCCTCTTGTTATCTACTTTGTAAATTAAATAGGAAAACAATTTCCCTAAACATAAATTCTAAAACTTGTTAAGTTTCATGTTGTAGATGAGGACAGTGTTTTTTTTTTTCCATTCTGTTTGTAATAGTCTTACTTAATGTGTCATAGTTGCAATTATATACAGTTATATGTCCACTCAATTCTATGCATCAGGAAATAAAAATAATCTGATTTTTACCGGGTTTTAAATATTTTTTATATCCAACGTAAAGAGTCCAAAAGCACAAAACAGATTCCACCAAGTCATTATGAAACAATAAATAAATAAATAAAGTGAAATAGAAAAGCTGTGTGGAAAACTTGTTCCTCTCCATGACAGACCCTCCTTTAACAGCAAGCATCAGCTCAAGTAGTGATTTTCTGTAGGACTTTGTACGTTTCTCACATGGTTGTAGAGAAATTGCTTCAGTTCATGGACGTTTGCAGACATTTGTTTCTGCACATCTCTCTTAAGACCCCATCACAGTGTTCTTGAGTAGATGTGCTGCTGTGTTTGAGATTGTTGTCCCTTGAAGCCAACTTTTTATTCAGGCTATAGCTGTCAAACAGATGGCGCTACATTTGATAGAGTTTATACGTGACTCAATGACTGCGAGACACCAAGTCCAAATCGTCATCGCTCCACCAGTGTCAGTCAGAGTCAGAGTCAGAGTCAGAGTTTCTTTATTGTCATTCGCACCTCATGTGGTACATGTGGTGGAGCGAA